TTCCCTGTTATCTCTTCGACCAAGTTCACCATCCAAGTTGCTTGACATGCACAAAGAGAAGCAGCTATGTATTCTGCTTCGCATGATGGTAATGCCACTACTGGTTCCTTTCTTGAATTCCAAGCAATTGGTGCACCACCTAGCATAAACACATATCCTGCTGTTGACTTTCGATCTTCAGCATCACTACACCAACTCGAATCAGTGTATCCCACTAACTTGCATTCTTTTCCTTTATCAACTGTAGGAAACAAAATGCCATAATCGAAAGTTCCTTTGAGATACCTTAGTATCCTCTTCACTGTTGCTAGATGTGATACCTTTGGCTTCTGCATAAATCTACTTACCATACCTACACTGTATGCTAAGTCAGGCCTTGTATGACAAAGATATCTTAATGATCCAATAAGTCTTTTGTATTGGGTTGGATCAACATCATCTTCATCTACATCTTTCGACAGTTGCAGTCTTGGTTCTGCAGGTGTCGAAGTTGAGTTGTATTCTTCCATCTCAAACCTCTTGAGAATTTCTCCTGCATATCTTCTTTGATGTATCATCAAACCTCTACTGCTCTTGTAGAATTCGATACCAAGAAAATATGAAATCTCACCCAAATCAGACATTTCAAATTCCTTGCTGAGATCACCTTTGAAGTCTTCGATCTCACTTTTACAACTACCTGTTATCAACAAATCATCTACATAGAGACATAGTATAAGCAATGTACTCTTGCTTCTTCTTACATATACTCCATGTTCAGTTGTGCACTTCACAGATTCCTTCTCCCTTAGAAAACTATCAATTTTCTTATTCCAAGCCCTTGGAGCTTGTTTCAATCCATACAGGGCTTTATGTAGTCTGTACACCTTTCTTTCTTCGTCATGTTTCACAAACCCAACTGGTTGTTTAACATAGACTTATTCATCTAAGGGTCCATTTAGGAATGCACACTTCACGTCCATCTGACATATGTGCCAACTGTTTATTTCTGCTAGACCAACAACCAACCTGATTGTTTCGATCCTAGCAACAGGTGCAAAAACTCCGTCGAAAGTCTATTCCTTCTTTCTGTAGAAATCCTTTCGCCACAAGTCTTGCTTTGTGTCGAGTTACTTCACCTTTCGAATTCGTTTTCACTTTGTATACCCACTTGACATCAATTTCCTTCTTGCCTTGAGGCAATTCGACAAGTGACCAAGTATTGTTATCTTCGATAGACTTTACTTCTTCGTTCATTGCTTTCACCCACTTCGAATCTTTTAATGCTTCAGCTGCATTAACAGGTTTGACATCTGCATAGAAAGCATAATGTACCAGCTCACCTTCATTATCTATTACATCATCTGATGTAATCACACAATCTTGCAGGCATGTGTCTTGTTCTTTGAGGTCTGCTTGTACTTGGTATATCTGTTGGTTCCTCTTGTCGAACTTCTCTTTCGACTTGAGTTTCTGGCTCTTCGAATAGGATTCCCACTGAATCTTTCTTGACATTTGCAGTCCAATCCCATTCTTTAAACTCATCTATGATCACGTCCCTGCTGATCACAATCTTCTTGTTCTCTGGATCGAACAACTTGTAGCCTCCTGTCAAATGATATCCAACTAGGATCATTTGACTTGCCTTGTCATCAAGTTTTCTTCTCAACTGATCTGGCACATGTCTATGTTCAATAGATCCAAATACCTTCAGATGACTCAAGCTAGGCTTCACACCAGACCAACATTCTTCTGGAGTAATTCCTTCTAGCTTCTTTGTAGGACATCTGTTCAAAATGTATGTTGCAGTCGAAACAGCTTCACCCCAAAACTCTTTAGGTAAACTCTTGCCTTTCAACATACTTCTCACCATATTCATGATGGTTCAATTTTTGCTTTCTGCAATTCCATTTTGTTGGGGAGTATAGGGTGGCACCACCTCATGCACAATCCCTTCCTTTTCACATAATCTGTCGAAGTCTTTCGACACATATTCTCCACCACCATCAGTTCTCAAAACTTTGAGCTTTCGACCACTTTGTCTTTTGACCATAGACTTAAACCTGGTAAATACTTCGATCACTTCACTTTTCTTCTTGATCAGGTAAGTCCATAGCTTTCGACTGAAATCATCTATGAATGTAACAAAGTATTTGTTACCTCCCATTGAATCCACCTGGATTGGTCCACATACATCAGAGTATATGACTTCAAGACTAGCCTTCGATCTGCTTCCTGCATCCTTGCTGAAGCTATTCTTGTGTTGCTTCGCCTGCACACATTCCTCACATACCTCGTTTGGAATGTCAATTTCTGACAATCCTGAAACCATATTTCTTCTCTTCAAATCTCTGATGTCTCTGAAGTTGAGATGACCTAGTCTATAATGCCATATCCATTCATCTCTGCTAGCTGCAGTCGAAAGGCACTTGTGTTCCATCACATTTAGTTCAATCTTGAAGGTTCGATTCTGAGACATAGGAGCCTTCAAGATTACTCTCCCATTTGCATCAACAACTCTCATCAACTTATCTTCGATTGACACTTTATAATTCTTTTCGACCAACTGCCCTATACTGAGCAAATTGCTCTTCATGCCTGGTATGTACAACACATTGGAGATTACTGACCTTTTGCCATCTTTCCTCATAATCATAACATCACCAATACCTTCAGCTGCCAGGGTATTGTCATTTGCAAATTTTACCATATTTTTCTTTGAGGGCTTTATATTGACAAACCAGTCTTTCCTTCCAGACATATGTGATGAACATCCTGAATCCAAGTACCATTGGTCCTTGAATCTATCTTCATCTCTTGTTGTGATCATCATCATCATCTCTTCTTCTTCATGTTTTGCAAGCTTTGCATCACTTTCTTGATTCTTTCGTTTTTCTGGACAATCACTCGAATAATGTCCATATTTCTGACAATTGTAACATTGAATGTGACTCTTATCAGGTTTTCGACCACCACCTCTTCCTCTATTTGCAACACCACCTCTTTGGTTGCCTTGGTATGGTCTTCTTTGATTCGACACGTCTCCTTCTATTTGGTTTCCTCTACCATTCGATATGTTGTAGCCACCTCTACCTCTGTCGAAACACTTTCTTTTGTCTTTGGTCTCTTTTGCTGAATGTGCCTGCAAGGCCACATCACTCTTCGATTTTCCTACAGCTCTTTCGTTCATTCTTTGTTCATGAGATTCAAGCGTCCCTTGAAGCTCTTCCTTTGTCAATTTCGATAAGTCTTTTCCCTCTTCTATCGCCACCACTATGTGGTCGAACTTAGGAGCTAAAGATCTCAAGATCTTCGACACAACAGCTCTTGTTGTTAACGCTTCTCCACATATCTTGATTTGATTGACTAGTTTTGTAACTCTAGTGAAGAAATCAGATATGTTTTCACTGTCTTCCATCTGAAGCAGTTCATAGGTCCTTTTGTGAGTTTGTAACCTCACTTCTTTCACCTTCTCAGCGCCTCCAAAAGACTTCTCAAGGATCTCCCAAGCTTCTTTTCCAGATTCTGAATCACTAACCTTTTCGAAATTGTCTGGGCTGATACATTGATGAATTATAAATAATGCTTTATAACTCAGCTTCTCAGATTCTGTGTATTTCTTCTTTTCTTCTTCTGAAGCGTTTTCGCCAAGCGCTTCGACTCCATCTTTTACAAGGTCCCAAAGACCTTGACACCTGAATAAGACGTTCATCTGTTTGCACCAATTCTCATAGTTGTCAACTTTCAGAATTGGTAGCGTTGCTGGATAGTTTGCATTCTCATAACTTGTCATCGTGAATTCTTCAATCGTTCTTGATTGACACTTCCCTTGAATCGAAACAAAAGCTCTTAATCAAATATGGATTCAAATAGTTAATTATTAATTATTAATTATTTATATTATGGTCAATTATAAATAAACACTAATTATTGATGAATTATTTAATTGAGTTTTATGTCTGAATGGACAGTGATGGATTGAGTCATTCAGTTAAGTCCAACGAGAGATCTATGTCCTCATCTGTTTAGCTATTTAAGCGTTACCCCCAATTAAACAATTAATATACTCTGAAAATTCTAAATGACAATGGAATTAGTAATCCTCTCATATCACTCTCTTTACCAGCAGTCCTTCCAATCTTATAAGATACACTGATTTAATTATTCTTGATTATTCTATAATATAATAATATACAGTGATTTGTATCTATCTAATACACTTAAATATATTTTCTATTATTGATCTTCCACGCTTAAATATATTTCATCTCCTTTCTTAAAATTGATCAAGTAAAATCAATCTTTTTGACAAAAAAATTTCAAAAACCATCTATCATAATTCACCCACATCCCTCATCCCGTATTTGAGTTTACTTGGTCAACACTCATGAAAAAAATGAATCCGCAGTCAACAACAAATGACTTATCAAAATCTCTAGCCATTCCAAATCAAAATCAAGAAACTACTAACTTTCCACACCCGAAGACTCTCAAGATACTTCATCGTCAAGGCAGTCTACTAAAATCATTAATAACAACACCAATCATGATTCAAGACACCCAACACAAATCATCCCAAGCCTCTCATTGTCAATGAACACAACAACATGAGTACAAGAGAAAAAGAGAGAAATCTTCAAACAAAAGAGTTATCTTGTATCCTCAATATCAATTCTAAATGTCGAACCAAAATATGTCAAGACATCACTCAACTCACCTTATAGAAAGAAAACCATGGAAGATGAATATTTACAATTAAATCTACTTAAAAAAAATGAAAACTTGAATAATTTATTATATGTCAAACAGATAAAAAGCGAAACCACCTCAAAAATCCTTAGATTAAAATCTTGTCTAGTACCAAACATTGTCAAACCATAAGTAAGGATAAAGATTATTCAACCAAAACATTATCATGAGCATCCAAACATTGTCTCACAAGAAAAACAATCAACCTTAAAGTCTCACAATTGTTTAAGAACTCAATAATTGAAAGAAAATACTAAAATGATGCAAATGAATCAGATGATATCCATTTTAACAGTTGGCACTTTCTGTTTCAACCATCCTGCTGAGTCGATAGGCTCTATAACCTTCACATACCCATCATTCAGTCCAATTGCAAATTGATACGGCTTTTCTGGATGTGCTGTGACAACAATAGGATATATATTTTGGCTGCACAAAATAAACAAACATTTATGTTAGATGACCGAGACCTCGAGATGAGCACACTCTCAAATCCTCTGAGGGTTGGTCAATTATTTTAATGATCAAATGACTTTGATTCACTAATAACGTCAAAACTATGTACGGCTGGATAGAGTCTCAATATAAGGAAGTTAAATAAGTTTAAGCAAGTGAAATTAATCAAAAACCTGGTTGATGTAGTCTGGTATAGGTATGCAGATGAATCGATACGATATCTTAGTTGGAGATTTTCAGCACCAAATATTCCAATATTTCCATCACTGAAAGTAGCATAAATTATTTGTCCATTGCAGTTGTATGCTGCAGAGGTTATGGTACCAGACAATCCATCTTGTGGTGGCCACTATTACGTACAAAGACAAAAATGTCACGAATTCTCTCAAGAGCAGGGTGTGCGCCGAATTCGACACTTTGAACGGACGAGGAAATATATGCTTACCTGGATAATCAATTCCATTTTCGAGGCATCATATATTGCTATCTGTGAGTCATGGTATACCAGCAACATTGTTTGATCAATGTGAAATTGAACTTTAGTCTCGCCTAAACGTGATTGTCCACCACCCGGCCTTTGGAGGATCACCGATTTCTTCTTAAACCATGGCCTTGTGAACCATGTGACAACCTACAAATACATCAAAACCTTATAGTACAGCGTAGAAGTTTTCACAACGGATTCATCCGCGCTGCTATTTTTCAACGCTAACTAACATTGTTACAGAAGTCGTGGTTAAACATACCTTAGCATCAGCGCCCGAAGAAACCATTATATTCAGTTGATGCGAAAAAGCTATACCAGTAATGTGCTTAAAGTGACCCTTCAATATAGATATACGCTAAAAGGCAAAGAGGTTCAAATCATTATAAATATTATTAATGAAATTATATCTAAATATAAAATTTGAATCTCCTTAATTTCTAAGTTAATTACCTCATCGGACCTAACATTAAAAATATGAATATCCGAATTTTCCATTCCAACTGCGACGATGTTATTGTCTTGAGGATTAAATGCGAGAAACGTTGCAGATGGCGGAGGTCCCTCAAAACGACACAAAACCTGAAATTCAACAATAATTTGTTACAATAATGAGATGAAACCGAATATACTGTCATAAATATTGAAAACTCACCTTAAAAGACACCATGTTGAACAATGCAACTTCTCCTCCATATGAAGCAATGGCATAGTTATCATTCTTTGAGATGTCCAGACATGGAGTTTCCGAATCACAAGTGGTCGGGAACTCATCGGTCAAACGAATACCATTAATCGGTGACCAATGTTCAGGAACAACACTTGCCGTCGCCTTTTAAACAAACATAAGAAAACTCAGTAATGGTTTTGACATAACAAAATATATATATGTGTCGTCTATAACCACCTTTCCAGTAGGATTCAATTCATCAGGGGTCCATTTCCACATCTTCTTACTCCCTCTTGAACCAAGAGCTAGAAGACACTTTCCATCGTTTGTGTAAAGAAGACGAATAGCCTTGGTAAAGACAAAAAACTTCATCATCATGAAATTATTAACATAAAAACAGAAATATATTATTGAAACATCTTTTGCAAAAATTTGCAAGATTATACAGAAATAGCAGACAAACAGACAACAAGTTGCGCCACTACCCTTTTTGCAAAAATGGAAAAGGTTGCGCGAAATACCTTCTTACTTGGAACCACTCTTTCCGACATAGTAACTATTTGACATTGAAGAGAGTGAACGGTTTCAAAGCTTCTGTTAATCTCCATGCTTCTAGCTATAATAACATTTACTCCACACTAGAATAAATAAATAACTAAATGAATCAACTAAACACATAACTATGTGATAAACCAAAGGTGCCTTAATCATGCTGCCGAATTAAAGCAGATACAAACCTTTGGATCAGAAGCATCGACGCCCCTCATGGATTTGAAACCGTCTGTGTTAGCAAGAATTTTTATACCGCCATCTGCTGTACTAACAGCAAGCAGATCTCCTTTCTTATTGAACTTCAAGCGAGGAAGATTCTGGCGCAAGGCATCAACCGTGTTAAATAGTTTTCACAAAAAACGTATCCAAATATCGAAAGTAAAAGGACTATACTCACTGGAAGACCACCATCAGCATTTATTTCAGTCAGAACATTGGTACTATCCACATCCCAAAACTTGATCTGGTTGTCTGCACCAGCAGCAAGAAACCGATTCTTTGAAGCATCGAATTGCACAGTACCGAAAGCTTTGTTTGTAAGTCCAGAATATGTTCTTTTTGCCGATCCATCATTTTCATTCCACTCAACTAAGAAGTTATCTCCATCTTTACTTGTTCCACAAGAAAACAATCTAAACATCCAAGAGCGAATTACGAATCACATAAAAACTTAAATAGAGTTAAACAAAAAAGAAAAAAGTATAATCTTGATTATTCATAATTTTCTTACCTAGTTCCATCAGCACTATAGATCAGTGTGGTGGAACATTTTCCGGGAGTGTCGTACTCCAGATGGAAACTCTTGTCATCGTACATCCAAGCTCTAACTTTCCCGTCAGCCGAAGTCGAAAATAAGAACTGCAAGAATTTGATGTCAATCAAATGAACAACATCCACAATGTGAAGAGGGGTGATAAAAAGTATTTAACCTGAATATTTTCCTTCGAGCGAGGAAGAAGCGAACAAACAGGTGCTTCATGACCTTCAAAGCAATGGATCTTATGACCATCCAAATCCCATACCTGTATTTATCATTCTTCCAATATTAATAACTATAAACTCATATAGCTAGATATAATCTATTATAGACTTGAAACTCTTCTGTCACCTTAATTAATTTATCATCTCCGCAAGTTACAATGCATAGCTGATTTTCCGGATATGTAAAAGCTATGTCATTGACAGAACCATCATGAGCATCAATCTATAATAACGAAACAAATACTATATTAGTGACGAATTAAATGTCCGCGAATTTTATTTTTTTTTGCATTAAATTCATATGAAAATTGATACGAAAATACCTCCAATTGCTGCTGTAGGCCATTAGGAACTTGATACGTATACAAATGAACCAAATGTTTGGCAAAAGCAATCCCTGAAAAGAAAAGAACTACATTACAAACTAGTAATCAAGCAACAAAATAGAAAAAAAATCACAACATTTACCGATAAAACTAGCGTCCGGGCTCCATGATACACGGTTGACAGATATCATCACTTCTTTAAAACTCGCAGCCTGTACGAAAGATCATTTAATACATGACAGAATATATGTTATCATCATAAGCAATTAGTACGAAAGATCATTTAAACAGATATGCATGATCCATAAGCAATTACACAGTTGAATAATTGAATATAAACCTGAAATTGGACCGAACAGTTAGAAAGTTTCCATATTTTGAAAGGCTTAGTTATCATCATCTCTCTATGTTTTGTTTCCCAAAGTGAAATTTCACCACTTGCACTACCAACTGTTTCAACGAAATTTTCTGAAGTTAGTAAAATGACTAATTAAGTTTCTGCGTAAAATATACGGAACATTTTGTTTATGTTAACCTACCAGCTAGTATCGAATGACGAGAAGGATGAAACTCCATGCTTGTCACAGTTGATCCCTGATGTAACTTACAAAAGACGGTTCTAGGAAGTTCATCATGCCACTTAGGCATTGGTGGAGATGTAAAGGTATACGCGGCCTGCACAGCCTGTAAAGAGTTGTTATTTGGAAACAATCTCATTCGTTGATCCAGATCGGGACTTTGGTGATCCACCAGTGTAAGATTAGTCCGCGTTCTTGAATTGTTAAAAACGGAGACTGCAAGAAATTAAAAGAGCATGTGAGTTTGACAAAGGCTTATATGGCAATATCAAGAATTTTCAACGGATGTCAGTGTAAGACTATTTTACATCGATAGTGTATATCTATATTAAACTTTATGCGACTAAAATACGACCAAGATATACCTCCATTAGAAGGACCAGGCAATGAGAAACCTGCGACCGCAGCAGGCGATTGGGATGATGAGGAAGGGTTTGCATTCGCCAACCATGCCGCTACAGAATTAGCAGTAGGAACTGTAGGGACTAGATGAAGTGGCTGCACAAAACAGAATGTTCATCAACGAACAGAAAATAACAATTTTATCAGGAAACAAGAAAATAAATAGACAAACTAAGTTCATACTGCAACTCCATAAGAGAGATGATTTGGACCAAATGCAGCAGGACGAAAAGCCGAAGTAGGCGAGCAAGGTTCATTTTGTCCAGGCGTCAAACAAACATGGTCGGTTAACAAAGTTTTGATCTCCGGATTTGGCCTCGGATACCTGCACAGTTGATGCTGCCAATTCAAACTGGATAGAGAATAATAACAAAACTTTAGCCAAGATAAACATGATTAATGAAGCTAAGATTGTCTTATTACGAAAAACGTTATTTACCCTTGATTAACCAATTGTCGCAACCGCGATGAGTGCACTGTAGGAAACACAAGCTTATCTTTGAGGCTAGGATTAGCATCAATCAATTTCTTCAGCTCAGTCATCAACATGGTTCTGGTTGATTTAGTATCTCCATACCGCGATAACTGTTCATTCTCCCTGCATTTAAACCAAAACCAGATTTAAAATGCCACCAAATTTTAACATCTCTTGAATCAATTTATAGTCAATAATCTCATAGAAAAAAATTGAAAGCAAACATTTACCTAAAGTTGTTAAGCGTGATAAGATGTGTTATTTCCTTATACACATCTGCATTAGATGTTGAGAAGATTTTCAAATCTTTCACCAGAATATCAACAGCCGTCGCTTTGTCATGCCTGATCACAAATTAGATCATTCAATCATTAGAAAAACAATACCAACCATAAAAATCATTGTAATAATGAGGACTATAGTTAGGGTTGTCATAAGAGTTCTGCAATCAAGATCTACGCTACGACAACGATTTTTACTGCACAAAATCAATTGAAATTGCATTTAACTACGATTCGCGACAGTATCAGCGATCAGACACGATCACGGTCATTAATATGACAGTTATTTAAAACACTAATCATTATAATGATGTTGTAATGTTGATAAAGATAAAGATCAGTACCTGTCCAAGGCTTCAAAGTACTTTTGCTTCCTGATCTCAAAGAACATTTTCATAGAGTTACGGCTTTCACTGATTTTCGTGAAGCCCCCGAGGTAGTTCTCAGCTTCGTCCAATTCTCCAGCAACGATTTTCTCTTCAAAATACTTCAAATTGAAGAACAGACCAGATTCTTGCTCCATCCTAAAAAAACAAAAACAAAACACAGGAAAAACATTTTTGTCAGTTCGGTGTTAAGAGTCTCAGGTGAGACAATATTCACTGTTCCAGACAAACAGAAAACAAAAACACCAAAAAAAAATGTTTACTTGTGCATGGTTTCCTTCAAGTTCTCGTCACCGAGATACTGGATCACGAGTAGCATCATTTCCTTGTTCAAAGCAGCCATTTTTCTAGCTTCAAGTGATGAGAATCAAAAGACTCTCTCAGAGAGAATAATGTTCAGTGAGTTGAAAATTTGATATCTTTTGCTTAGTGATGTTTATATGCAATGCAGCTAGAGCTAAGGAGAGAAAAAACGGCAGACAGAGAGAGAACCTTGCGTTACTCGAAGTGTGTTCGCACGTTTTTTTTGTTTCAGTGTTGGTTGCACGGCTTTATCATTGTATTCGTACACGATCTGATAAGTAACTGTGCTTATCATATTGAATAAAGAAAAAAGGGATAAAATCAAAGTATCTAGTGTACAACGTACGTCACTTTCACGTGCTTTCCAAAAGTAATACTCTTTCCCTCTCATAGTCCTGACCCATTATAATGTTTCACACATATTAAAAAAAAGTATAAAAAGTTAAAAGAGAGAATAATATATTTATTTAATATTTTTAATTATATATTGAAAATGATAAAAATTTAATTAATTAGAAGATAAAATTAAAAAATATATATTAAAAAGTGAAATGAATCATTCATTTTTTGCGACACTATTTTATTTTAACTTAATCACTCATTATAAGACGGAAGGAGTAACAATTTATTTCATGTATTCATATATAAAAATTAAAAATATATATTTATATATTGTTGGTGTCATTTTATATATATATATATATATATATATATATATATATATATATATATATATATATATATATATATATATATATATATATATATATATATATATATATATATATATATATATATATATATATATATATATATATATATATATATATATATATATATATATATATATATATATATATATATATATAAAAGCAAATTATTCTGGATTATTACTTTTTCTAAAATATATATTTATTTATTTATTTATTTATTGAATATTGTCTTTCTCTTTATTTATAATACTTTTTAATTATAAAACTTTGTCGACTTGCATAAAATTAAGTGAAAAATTTTTATATCCTTAATTATAAAGTACAATACAATTATTATTATTATTATTATTATTATTATTATTATTATTATTATTATTATTATTATTATTATTATTATTAATATTTTTTACTACTAATATTACTAATTTATTTTGAACATAAAAAATAAAATTATATATATATATATATATATATATATATATATATATATATATATATATATATATATATATATATATATATATATATATATATATATATATATATATATATGGTATTTTAAGAAGATCCATCTACAAATGAGTATGGATTATTTAATTAAAAATATAAATTATATTTTTCTTATAATATTAATAAATGGAAAAGTTAATATATAAAACTAATATGACTGTTAATAAATTTATTATCATTATTTTTTTTTAAATATTTAATGGTCAATGGTCTTATATTAAGAAATGATGGAACCATAAAGTACTTTCATCCCATCTCTTTTACTCCTTGCCCATAGTTTTTTTTTTACAAATCCCTGTTCCTATTTATTTCAATTAAAAAATATGCCCTAGATAGATATTTTACCATACAATTTATTTGATTTATTCAATATTATTTTATATATATATATATATATATATATATATATATATATATATATATATATATATATATATATATATATATATATATATAAATGAATACAAAATGAATTTAAGAGGAATTCATATACAACCCCTAAAAAATTCTATATACAAATGAATATATTAAATTTAGGGTTTTTTTTTATTCATCCTTATGTCTTCTTAGAAGTTCTTGACAAAATTCTTGTAATATTTACATAATTCACATATGTATATTCGAAGGAACCAAATTTAAGGATTAGTTTGAATATACATATTCGAAATAATCCAATAATTCAATATTGAGTTATTTGGGATATGCATATCTAAAATAACTCACTAATTCAATATTGGGTTATTTCGGATATACATATCCGAAATAACTCAATATTTCATTTCTATGGATTTTCAGATATGGATATCTGAAATAACCTCATTTAATTTTATTATATATATATATATATATATATATATATATATATATATATATATATATATATATATATATATATATATATATATATATATATATATATATATATATATATATATATATATATATATATATATATATATATATATATATATATATATATATATATATATATATATATATACTAGATCTAGTTTATAAATTATTCATCATTTTTTTACAAGAATTTATTTATTTAATAATAAATGTTCTAATTTAATATTATTAATTATTAATAACATTCAACTTTTAAGTATAATATAAATATTTTTTTACTATATAATAAATTTTCTAATTACAACTTAATAACTAATTATCAATTCTATAATAAATACTTTAAAAAAAGTTTAATTAAAAATGTCAGTTTATTTTTTTAAATAAAATTGTCATCTAAATTAAATTTAACTTTTAAAGTTACAATTAAAAATTATTTTTTAAATTTTTTATCCAAAATTATTCATAATTTTAAATAAATAATAACTCAATTTAATTATATTATAAATAAATATTTTTTAAAGATCAAAATAAAATTAAAAGAAATTAGAGATATTGGATTATTTCGGATATGAATATCTGAAATTTCCCTAAAAATAAAATATAGGAGTCTTAGAGTTTGACATAGCTTCACCTTACAAAACTGGTTAGTAAGGTGAGGAGCGTCACTCTATATGAACTCTTTCAATACTCTATCTCCAATCAATGTGGGACTTTAGGATCTTCCTAACATCCCCCCTCACGCTCAACACTCTTTTTTTGGGCTTGGTGCATGGATATTAATGGTGGACGCCCATGGTTCGATCGATAGGCTCTGATACCATCTTAGAGTTTGACATAGCTTCACCTTACAAAACCGGTTAGTAAGGTGAGAAGTATTAGTTATATATATTAGCCTTGGTGTATTTGTCCAGCTGTATGCTTATGATTGGCTTTCTGTTAGGCTATTGCTATTGGTTGAGTTAGTTGTAGAGGTGGTTATATTAGCCCACTTGTAACAATGATATATAGTATCTTATCCTCTACTGTAACAGAATCAAGGAGTTTTGGAATTTTATAGAAACTGCACAAAGTGCAGATTGTTGAATGCAGAGCATTCTTCATCTTCTACATGGTATCATCGTGAACGATCCATCCACTTTCCGCTCATCTCTCTTCTCTTCCCGGTGTTTTCACTCTGGTCTCTGCAGTATCTCTGTTTTCTATTCTTCATTCTCATATCTGCATCATGGCCACTGATAATCAAGAAGTGCAGTCCTCATTCACCCCTTTCTCCACTGGCAGCAATGGATTTGGACCTCGCCTCTCCATTAAGCTCCAAGAGAACAATTTTCTCCTTTGGAATCAACAGGTTGAAGAAATCATCCTTTCTCACAAACTTCACAAATTCGTCGTGAATCCACAGATTCCCCCAATCTTTGATTCAGAAGAAAATCGTATAGCCAACAAAGTTTCAGCTGTGTATGAATCTTGGATTGTACAAGATCAAGCATTGTTCTCATGGCTGCTCTCGACGATTTCAGAATCTGTTCTTCCAAGAGTCCTTTCCAGCAAACACTCATATCAGATTTGGGATCAAATCCACAAACATTTCAATGCAGTGATGAAAGCTAGGGTTCACCAGCTGCGTTCTGAATTGAAAACCACCAAGAAAGGGAATAGGTCAATCTCTGAGTATGTGCTGAGAATTAGAGCTATCGCTGATGCACTGCTAGCTATTGGTGATCCCATCTCGGACAGAGATCAAATTGATTCCATCTTACAGGGGCTTCTGGAGGAGTACAATCCTTTTGTCATGATGACTTATGGCAAAGGTGAGCTATCCTCCATTTATGATGTGGAAGCTCTCCTCTATGTCCAAGAAGCACAACTTGACAAATATCGTCAAGAACTTGCACTTACCACGGCCACTGCAAATCTTGCCTATACTGAAGATCAAGCAAGTTCCAAGACCACCAGAGGTGGCTTTCAGCAATCAAGAGGACGTGGCTCTGGCTCTAGAGGTCGTGGTCGCACCAGGGCACGCAATTCTTACACTCAAGGAAATCGCCCTACGTGCCAACTCTGTGGAAAATATGGCCATGCTGTCATGAACTGCTGGCACAGGTATGATGAAAACTTTGAACCTGTGGCGCCTAAAGCTAATCAGTAGCCTACACAATCAAAAGATCAACAGAAGAATGAAGCCTCCAGTTCTGCACAAGCCTTTGCATTCCTAGCACATCAAGAAGATTTCAGCCTTCCAACAAATCTTGAATCACAGGCTTGGTTCGCGAATTCAGGTGCATCCCATCATATCACCTCTAGAAACTATCATAGTAAACACACTAAACCTTATTCTGGAAATAATGAAGTCATTATAGGAAATGGTAAAGGTATGAAAATTAAATATGTAGGAATAGCTCATATTAAGCCTAACAATACTTCCAGTTATTTGCTGAGTCTGAATGATATGCTTCATGTTCCTAGCATAACTAGAAATATGTTATTTGTTTCCAAATTTGCTAAAGACAACAAGGTCTTCTTTGAGTTTCACTATAACAGCTGTTTTTTCAAATCTCAGGCATCTAAGGAAGTTCTCTTAGAAGGCTACCTTGATGCTGGAGGATTATACTACTTTCCCAATCTCACCTTGAAGACTTCTCTGTCACTAACAGCAAATGCAGCTTGTATCTCATCTGGTAAGGTTTCAAATACTTTAGATTCAATTTCCAATAAGTTTTCTCTATGGCATCATAGGCTAGGCCATGCTAACTCTGTAGCTGTTAAAATTGTTCTCAACATATGTAATATCGAGTTGAGCAATAAAGATAATGTTGAATTTTATAATTCATGTTGTGTAGGCAAGTCTCATAGAATATTTGCTCCTTTAACTTCTATTGTATATACTGCTCCTTTTGAATTAATTCATACTGATTTGTGGGGACCATCACCAAACCCCTCTAGCCAAGGCTTTTCTTACTACATA